ATTGTTCTTATTTATATATTAAACTTTAAAAATATGATATTTTTAATAATTATAAATTGTTGATTATTTTAATATATTTATGAAAAATTATAAGTATATAATAATAATATAGATATTTTTTTTTATAATAATTATAATTTAAATATTTAATAAATATTATATTTTTAACAAAATTTTATAAATATATTATAAGAATGTATTTTTTAATTTTAATGTTATAAAAAAAAATTACTTTCGATATATATTTAATAATTAATAGTATAAATTAATGAGAAATTTAAATATTTAGATAAATATAATACAATAATAAAACATATTAATTATATAAACAAATAATATTTATTAAATTAATATTACAAATAATCAAGAATAAATATATTTATAATTAAATCGTTAATAAAAAATATTAATTTAATAATTAATTTAAAATTATAAATAAAAATTATAATTATAAATATAAAACATTTTATTTAAAAATAAAAAGTAATAAATTAAAAAGTAAATAATAAATAAAAAGAAAATTAGAAAAAAAAAATGAAAAAACTAAAATTAAAAATAAGAAAATATAAAAACTTTTGTAAAAAAAATATTTTCAAAATAAAGTTAAAAATAGAATTTATAATATAAATAATATTTAATTATATATTTTAATTGTTAAAAGTGTAAGTAATTAAATAAACAAATATTAAAAAATATTAATTAATAATTTCTAAAAAATAATAAAATCTAAAAGAAAACAAGAATAAATTAGATGATAATTTAAATTAATTTAATGACAGTATAGATCAATATTTTCATCTATCAATTGATATAAACAATACTGATCAATAACAAAATAATTAATAAAATAGTAATTAATAATAATAATAATAATAATAATAATAATAATAATAATAATAATAATAATTATAAGAATAATAATAATCATAAGAAGAATATTAATTTAATAATTATTCAACTTGTTATGATATGAATGACTCATTTAATTAACTTTTGTAAGATTAAAACGTTATAAAGGATCAAATTTATTATTAAAGAAAAGCACATTATCAATAATTATAAATATTATTTTCTAAACAGAAATTATAATAAAATTATATAATAAAATAAAATGAAACCTAATTTATAACAAAAACTAAAAACAATTTCAAAATTTTAAATATAGAAAATGAATAACATAATAAAATAAATAATATGGTAATCAAAAAAAGAGATTCAAAATATATAAATTATGAATTTATGAGAAAAAAGAATTTAAATATGGATATTATTACAGCTAACGAATATATTAAGAAAAATTATTCGTGTTAATTTAAAAAATGTGCATGCTAAAGAATTATTAAATAATAATAAAGAATTAATTTTTTCGGAAAATAAAATAACTATTAAAAATTTGAATTATCTACTATTTTTGAGGATGTTGCTTATTGATATTTTTTTTATTTATTAAATCTTTTTTAATTAATAAATTATACTTATTATAATTTATAAAAATATGTATTTAACAAAAATATATCATAATTATTAATTTATTAAGGATTTTTTTTTAAATTTATTAAGTCTTTGTATAATAAATTATTATTATCTTTTTATATAAAAATATATTTGTTTAAAGATAAGAATAAATTTTATAAAATATTAAAAGATATAAAAATTATTCCTAAAAATATTAAAAGGAAAAAACAAAAATAAAATTAAAAGAAATAAAAATAAAAATAGAATTAAAAAATAAAAATAAAAATAAAATAAAATTAAAAAAAGATAAAAGATAAAAATAAAATAAAAATTAAAAAAAAGATAAAAAAAAAAGATAAAAAAAAAAAGATAAATATAAAAAAAGATAAAAAAAAAAATTACATATAAAGTTATATTTATATATAAAATTAATATTTTATTTGATAAAAATAATTAATAATCAACTTTTAAGAAAACACTTTAAATATATGTTAATGAAATTTAAAAGCTATTCACATAAGATTAAGAAAATGCATTAAATTAGATTCGAATTATGGTTTCAATAAAACTAAAAATGTAATTAGTTATTACAAAAATATATTTTGTGACACCGAATCTGATATTTCATACATCCTAATATACTATGCCTCAGTGAAATGGTGTTATTTATATGAGTATATAATATTAAATAATTACTTTTTTACTAAATATATTATCTAGAAATATACTTCTGATGTGCTTAAGGGTCTTAAATTTCTTACATAATAAAATATAAATAATTTTGTTCTAAAATTTAATTATTTTTTTATTTTTGAATAGTGAAATTTTAAATTTAATAAATATTATTGATTCATATTATATTTTTATTTTATTAATTGAGCTTTTGACAATAGTTAATAAGCACATACTTAAATTGGTATTCTTTATTATACTTTTCCTGAAGTTTTTAAAAGCTAATATTATGATTACAAATGTGAACCTACTTCCCCTTTCAGTAGTAATTCATTTGAAGATTTACATAATATAATAATAAAGAGGATAAATCTAATAAATCTATAAAAATACAGATTATGTTTATAAAATTTCATTTAAAGTTGTTTAAAAGTGAATACTAAAATAAACTTAATAAAATTTATTTTAAAATTATAAAAATTAAGTTTTTTGTAAATTTGAGATAGTTAAACTAAAAAAAAAATTGGAATATCTTAATGGAATTTTTCAAAATCCTAATATTAAAAATTACTCGTTTTTTAGAAAAAATTAATAATTTAAAGAAAAAATAAAAGCATTATCAGCTTTTTTGTTAAGGGTCTAATAAACAAAGTCGTTAATAAATTGAAATAATAAAGAGGTCTATTTTTATTTCTCTAAAATTAAAAATAGCTTAATGAAATTTAAGTTTTTAGAAGTTCAATGACAGCCTTTAAAAAAAATCGTAATAAGTTCTAATATTGGTCTGTATAAATTTTTAATAATATATGTTTTTGCTTTATTAATTTTTTTCAAATAAATGGATTATATCTTATCAAGAATTTTAAAAACTTATTCAAAATAATTTTTACATATTTTCATATATTGTTTTAAATAATAAAAAATATTAGTTTAAATTGAAAAAAAACTTTTATTTTAATTATAAAATGAATTTATATAGTAATGTATCTATTTAAAATAATACATTTGATATAAATCATATTTATATGTCAAATTTTATTACAAATATTATATTTTTATTATTATTTCTATTCATATTGCTATTTTTTTAATTTTATAAAAACATTAAATATAATTAAAAAGAAAGAACAAACTAAATAATATTTAAACTAACAGTGTAATAAATATTAATTACAGATTGACAATGAGATTTACACTAAAGAGTGTATGATAAAAATTAATTTATGGATAAGGGATGCTTAAAAATTAAATAATATATTTATTAAAAATATTGTGAATTTATTTTTTTAAAAGAAATTAAAATAATGAACATAAATATTTCAATAATAATAGAAAAACTATTCAAATAGTTAAGTAAAAAAAAAATAGAGCAGATTATTTTTCTTTTCTAACTAAATAATTCAGATTCTGATATCGATATCGATTATTGTGAATTGAGTTACATCTCTCTATAATTTTCAGCTTAAACTTAGAGAAATTTACTTTGTTATACTAATTTTAAAAAAATAATAATAATTAACACTTTTTAAATATTCTTAAAAATAAGAAAAGTAATGTGTATTTTATAAAAATTGTAAAAAATATTAATAGGATAATATGTATTAAATATGGAAAAAATTAATTAATCGATATGTTATCAAAAAATAATATAAAAATTATGATGAAAATTTTTTTTATGATTAAAAATAAAATAAAGCCTCTATTAAAATAGAAAATAGAAATAATTTTAATATAGTAAATAATTTATATTAAGATATTATTATTTTTATATTCAAAATAATTTATATTGATTAATATTTTATTTAATAAATAGTTATTATATTTTTTTATCTTTTTTTTTCTTTGTTTATATATAATAGCTATTTATAAAAACTTTATTTATTTAAATTTAATATATTAAATTAATATTAAACATATTTTTTTTTTTATATTAATTATAAAAAATATTGAATATTATAATACTATATTTAAATATATATAGAAAATATGGCTAAATACTATAAATAATAAAAATCATTAAATAATATAATTTTAATTTTATTTTTTAAAAAAAAAAATGAATAAAATAATAACAATAATTATATATACATATATTATAAATAACTCATATAATATAAATAATTTTATTAATTATGAAAAAATTGTAATTATTTATTTAAACTTTGAAAAAATAAAATTAAGGCATTCAAAATAAATTAAAATAAATTAAAATAAAAATAATATTAAATAAACAAAAATATATGGATAAACAAAAATTAAATCAATATACAACATAATTAAATAAATCTTTATAACATTTATTGAACATATTTGAAAAAAATAAAGCATGGGCTGATATTGGGAACTGGTTATATAAAGTGGAATAAGCTTTTAAAGAGAATCCAAGTCCATTTATATTAGATAAATTAAATTTATCAAAAAGATTAGCTTAATGTCTAAGTCCAATACTTCCTTAAGCTATTAACTAAGCATCATTAGAAATATATGAATTAATATTTCGAAATATAAAATAAATATCAAATGGAAATATAGAAGAATATAAAAAATTATTTTGTGAAGATTTTGCACTTTATAGCGTCGGATTATTTCCATTTTTTTAAAATGCTTAACATAAAAATAAATGCTATTATCTTTAAATTATCAATAAATATTATTTGCCTTTAAAAAGAGATCTTATACCTTGTATACCTGGGCTTGTCCTTTCTATTTTACCTGGTTTAGAAGAAAATAATGAAGCTTTATAAAAACATGTAATCTTAACTTTATAAAATATTATGGATTCTTGTGGAAGAAGGTATTTTAAATAAATTTAAAAATATATATATATATATTATTATTTTTTTATAAAGATATTTTATAGGAAGTTTATGGATGGCTATAATGAGAAGTCAAAGAGGAAGAGGATAGGCAATTAAATTTTTGATGAATAATCTTCCAAAAGCATTAGAGGATGAAGAGGAAGATATTTTAAGTAAATCTTTAGAAGAAGTGTATTAAGCATAAGATGAATAAAATAATGATATCACCAATAATAATAAAATAGATAATAATAACAAAACAAATATTAAAACATAGAATAATTTATAAAATAATAATTATATATCAAGCAATGATAGTCCAAATAAATAAAATGAAGATAATTAATAAAATAATTAATACTGTCCAAATAATTTGGATAATTAAGCAAACATTAAAAAAGAATTTGAGAATAATAGTCAAATTTAAATAAGAGAAAATTTAAAATTCATAGAAGAATAAATAAATGATAATTCATGGGAAAACAATTACCCAAATAAAAGTACATTAATAATAAATACAATACTTTCATGTTTATAAGATGAAAACCAATTAGTAAGACGTAATATATTAGATTTGATGTGTTTTCATTTAAAAATTACATAAGATGATATATTAGATAAAAATGATAAATAAATTTTGGTTGAAGGTGTACTTTAATAATTTATTTAAAAAAATGTGTCTGTCATTAGAAGAATTAATATGTGGCTTTTCGGAAAACCTGATAGAGATAATAATTATAAAATAAATGAAGAAAAAAATGCTTTTGTTATTGAATTAATTATTACTGGTTTTTGTAATATTATTTAAAATGAAAAATAAAATTTTTCCTTACCTTTAAAAATTATACTTAATTTCTTTATAGAACATGAACTTATTATTTAATTTACATTATAAAAACTTACTATACCTATTATTTAACATATTTATTAATATAATAAAACACCTGATGTTATCAAAACAGCTACCCGTTTCCTTGAGCATGTGAAAGATTATATTAATCTTTTTTTAAAAGGACTTTCTGATTACCTTTTGGAAAGTATTGAATAAAAGAAATATGAAGAATCTTTATTGATTGTCAACCTGATTTACTTTCTTTATTAAAATCTTCTTAAGCCTTCTGAAGGAATATTGGATTAAGAAAAAGCTCATTTTTGTTTAAAAGAAACGCTTTCTGGGCTTTTTGAAGGTATTTGTATAATAGATCAATAGTAATAAAAATTAATGGAAACAATTTTAAGACTTATCAGTTATTTAATGGAAAGATTAGCGCAAGTAAATAACATAAAAGAGGAAGAGATTGAAAAAAACAAAGATTTATTAATTAAAAATGATGCTAGTTTTGAAAAATATCAAAGTATTTATTACGTTAATTTCACTAAAAATGTTGAAAATATAAATAATTAGAAAATTTTTAAGCTTTCTTCTTAAAATTTAATAAGAGGCCAGAAGTTTATTTTTGAGAAAAATAAAAAAATGATTGTCTTGCCTGAATGGTTCACATGTATATCTTAATGTATTCGTTTAAACAATCCTTCTATTTCATTGATTGCAATTGAGTCAATGATAGAAATCCTTATTAGTGAAAAAATAGATCCTATATACGAACAATTAAAAAACCTTATACTTGAAGAGGCTAAATAATCAAAAAATTCTTATAAAAATTTGCTTATTTAAAATAATTATACTAAACTTACCCTCGAAAAATTATGGTCATTGCTTGATTTTTAGCATTTCTATGATAAAATTATTGATCTCATTGTCAATTTTTCATTATATTTTCCACATCATTTTAAAGAAGTGGTTGTGAATAGTTTCTAAACTGTATAAATAACCTAAAAGGAATCTTCAATAAGAAGATTTGCGACTTTCTGGAGATTAACAGCTAATCATTAACATCATTTTGTACTTCTTTAAGATTTAAATAAAGTTGGATTATTCATTATGTTAGATTTTCTAGATCATGAAAATCCGTTGGTAAGATATGCTGCAAAAAATTGGCTTATTGAAGGTATTCCTTAATTTTACAGAATTCTAGACCCTTTATTTGAAGTACTTTTGTAAGGTAATTCTAGCTTTTATATAACGGAATAAAAATAACTTTTTTATACATAAATATATGAAACTAAAAGAACTAATGAGACTTTGAAGAAACTTAAAAGCATATTGGTTATTACAAGTAATGTTTTTTTAAAATATATAAGTACTATTGTAATTAGCGGATATTTAAATTAAATAAAAAATCATTTTAATTCACAAATGAATAATAGTAATAATATTTTAGGATTTTAAGAATCTCTTGTGTAAAAAAATGATAAAAAAATCACTTATTTGGATCTTTTGTCATTCCTCTGTCTCAAGTTTATATAAGGTTAAGTTTTGGAAAGCTTTTCGCTCAAATTTTAGCTTGAAAATGCAGCTGTTAATGCCTCTTCTTGTGAATTTTTAGAACTTCTTATAGTACATATAGAAGATCCACAACTTTCAATAAATCTTTGTGAGTATCTTTTGGAGCCTTTAGTTAAAACTCTTTCTCATAATGTGACTAATTGTGATTATGTAATGTAAGTTTAATTATTGAATTTATTCAAAACAATATTTTTTAATTCTTCCTATATGAATAAGAACTCGAAATATGTCATTAAAAATAAATTAACAAATATATTGACATCTAAAGTGTTTCTTTAAAGCATTTTGAAAGGCCTTTTTACACCTATATCGTATGTAAGAGGTTAATTTATTAATTTTTTAAATATTTGTATACCTCTAATAAGTTCATTTGTGCATCATCCTGTACTTACGACGATTATTAAATAAATAATGTAAGCATATTTCTAATTAATTAAGGATTTTTCTAGATAAGAAGTGTAGGAGTAAGAATAATAAAAAAACAAAAATGATTAAAACAAATATAATATTGAAAATTCTAACTTTTATGAAATTTCAGTTGTGCTTGAAGGCGTTAAATGCATTCTTTAATTTTTCTTAAATATGCCTACATTAGAAATTATTGAAGCGAACAGAAATAAACATTAATAAAACGCTATTTTAGATACCCTTAAAACTGTATTTTCTTTTGGAATGTATTAATATTAAGATTAAGAAAAAGAAACTAAAGTTATTTAATTTTTAATTTATATAATAAAAAAATAAAATAATAATAGATTACTTTTGAAAAACATATAGATACATGCAATTGTTTAATTTATGATATAAAATAAGTTATTGAATTATTAATAAATAGTTGGTAAAGAAGTAGTGAGTTTACAATTGAATTTAGTATTTATGGGATAAGATAATATGAATTTGAAAGATATAATATATTGAATAATAATTTAAATGAATTGATCAAATAAACACATTAAAATAAGTATAAAGCTAAACTTTTGATAATTTAAATAATAAAACCTTTATTATTTTAATTTACTACGGAAGTAATGAATTCAATAATAATTCTTTGGAATAGAGAATGTGCATTTAAAGTGCCTTAAAGACTCGATTAACTAAACGAGAATGAATTTTAAAGTAAAATGATAGAACTTTTAAGTGTATGTAATATACCTCTTGAATAAATATTAGAAGCAATAAACTAGAGTTTTTTAATCGAAAAGATAATAAATTTTTATAAAATTAAAAATCATAAAGAAAAGAAAAATACAATAGTTTGTAATTACGAAATGAGTTAATTAGAAAACAATTTATTATTTTTTATTTATGTAAATTTAGCTTATTCTTTTGTAGATTCGAATCGTTTAAAAAGAGATAATTTATTTAATTTTTGGAATTCCTTAATTAAGCTTTTAAAAAATTTACTTCCTTCTAAAAATCCGAATACTGTTTTATGGATTATGGAAATTTTATTTACTGCAAGTAAGAAATATTCCCCCAAAGAAATTTTATCTGATAAAAAATTGAAAAAAGAACTTCATGATTTGATTTAAGAAAAATTTATTTTTGTTTCTTTGTGGATTTCTTCTTCGCAAATTTAAATCCTATTTAATGAACCTGTTTTAAACTCTTAAAATAATGCAACCTACTCTAGTGAACAAGATAAGAAAATCAAATAATTATTGCTTACAAGTCTTTAATAATATAAAGTTTTATCTCCTTTCACACCTATTATTTATGACTCTATATTAAATTCACTCAAAAGTTAAGAAAATAATTAATTATTAGATGATCTTGAAAGTACAGAAGAAATAAAAATTTATAATAAATATAGACTTTTTATGTTGGAAAGCTTAAAAACATTTGGATTAGAACTTCTACAAAATTGCTATCCATCAGAAAGAACAGATCGAGTAATAGGAAAAGTGAAGGATTTTATGGAAAATATTTTTAATGTAATGGAAAACAAAGGAAACTAGAATTTACTTTATTTATAGAGTAGTTCTTAATTATTATATATTCTAATAGAAAAGTCTCCTTTATTAATAATTAAGGAATTTAAAAAGAATATATTGGAAATTTTTAACAAAGATAATTTTTTTCTTGTAATAAATAAACATTAAGATATTGGAGCAAAATTATTGACAATGTGATTTCTTTGGATAAGTAAAGTGACCTTTTTTATGAATATTTAGAAAAAGTAACTCTTTCGACTTCTTTTTTTTCCAAAGAATAAACTGAGAATAAAAAAAGAATTAAATCTTTTAAAAGAGTTTGCTTTATTATATTTGCAGGTTCCAAAGATAAATATTATGATAGATTAACTATCCTACTCGATAAAATATCCGAGGTAATTAAAAACGGAGAATCTGTACATTCATCATTACTTATTTTGATTCTTTTTTGTATTAGAATACTTATCCTTAGATTATCTGGTACTAATTTGAATGCTCTTTTTTAACATTTATGGCCAATGCTTTTAACCTTACTTATATAGATATTTTCAAAATAATAATAATATAATAATTCTTTGCCAAAAAATCCTAATCTAATGCTTGCTGGGCTTAAATTAATTGAAATTCTTTCAGTTTCTTAATTAGACGAGTTCTATTTGCATTAATGGATTTTTATTTTTGATTATTTCGGTTTAAAAATTTAATCCGTAAAAACTCTTGATAAAAACCGAAATAATTATTAAAATCAAATCACTCCGTTTAATTTTTAACCATTTGTTTCTAATGTAATAAATGAATAGGAATTTAAAATATCTTATATTAATTAAAAAATTAATGATTTCTAAAAAAATAATTAAAGGAAAATTATAATTACATAATGTAAAGTAGATGATTAAAATGAGTTAAATGAATAGGCTTTGAATTTATGTTCATATTTAATTTCTAATAATGAGTCAAGGACAGAAGCTAATCTTGATTAAATCGAATCTATGATAGAAGAAGATTTTATTAATCTAGATGAATTTATATTGAAAGTTTGAAATTATATACAAAAATATTGAATTAATTTAAATATATATATTTAATATTATAAATTATTATATTTTAATTATAGTCATTATATATTTTATTAACTTATTATATATAGTTTTAAATTAAATTAATTTCATGCCCAGAAATTATTTTAATAGTTTTTTATTTTTGGTTAAATTTAAAATTATAATTAGTTTTTTTTAAATAATTAATTTTATTTATGTTATTATAATATATTAATTGTATTTAAATATTTATTTATAAAAAATTATTAAATAAGAAAAAATATTTTTAAAAAAATTTATACTTTTTTACATAAATATTATATTATATATTAGAATTTTCTTATTTTAAATTAACTATTTATAATAAGAATTTCATTTCTGAAATAAAAAAAAATAACTACAATAAAATTTAAACTATTATATTCGAAGAAAAAAACGCTTATATTTTTATATTATTTAGTATTAATTTTTAGAATTGTTTTTAGATTTAAGTTAAAAAAAAGGATTAGTATTAAAAATTTCAATAATATTCTTCTTAATATAATTTTGTATTATATAAATGCAATTTAATAAAGTTATTTTTATTTTTTTAAAAAAATAATGTCTATTTAGGTCTTAAAATTTTCGATTTTTAAAAATTAAGAAAATTATCAAGTTATAAATTTTTATATTTTTTATACTAACTAATCTTTTTTAAAATAGAAATTTTTATTTTTATTATATATATATATGTTTTTTATATTTTCTGTATTTATTCGAAAAAAATATTTATTTATTTCTAAATAAAAATATTTAAATTATTATATTTATTTTTTTTAATTTAAATATTATTTTTTTTTTTTATTTTTATTTTTATTACTATTAGATATGAAAAGATTAATTTAAACCTATAATTTATTCTTTACTTTATAATTAATTTATATATTTTTTTTTTTTATTTTTAAATAATTTAATAATCGCCTTCAATATTTTAAAAATTATTTATTCATTATATTTGTTTTATTTAATATGTTTTCGTAACCATTAAATTATTTTATTACTTTTAAATATAAGTGATTAAAATTATTATATATTATTTATATAATTATTTGTTTATAAATTAATTTACTTCTTTGTATAAATTAATTTAATATAATTATTTTTAAAAATAAACTGTAGTTTTAAATATGAAAATATAAGAATTCATAAGTAATTTTGATCTTTTTGGAATCGATATTAAACTAAAGTATAAAAACAAAGACTAATATAGGACATGTGTTGGAGGATATATAAGTATAATAGTATGTTCAATAATATTATATTAATTTTACAAGTTAAGTGAAGACTTTATTTATTAAAAAAGTATAACAATAACCTAATAATAAGAATATATATTTCCAATAGAAAAAGAGGACATAAATCTTAATGCATTTAATTTAGCAATAGGAATATAGGATTAAACATGGAGGAATTTTATAGATAATGAAATATACACATTATTAGCTGAACATGTATAATAAATAAATATTTTTAATGAAGATGGTTAATAAAATGATTCATAAACAATAAAACGTTAAATTAAAATGGTAAAATGTTAAGAAAATATGTTCAAATAATAAGAAGTAAAAACTTATTACCGTAAATATTTAAGTAAAAAAGATCTATATTGCATTAGCCCTGATGAATAAAATCTGTTTTTATAAGGTGATTATGATGATAATCTATTTTCATATATTAAATTTTCATTCGCTATTTGTAAAATTTAAGAAAATAATTAAAAATGTAAACCTTACGATGAAATAAGTAAATAATTAGAAGGATCCTATTTATCTTTTTATCATGTTAATAGCATTTCTACTCCTAGAAATATAACTCATCCTTTCTAATATAGTATGAAAGATTAATTCTTTGCTACTGATATAGATGGTTATAAAGAAATTTATTCTTAGTTTAAGCCTCTTTATACAAATTCTGATTATGGAATATTTACTAGTTAAAAGACTGTTTAAAAGTCTTTATAATTTGCAATTAATGTTGAATATGTATTTATTTATATATTAATTTATTTTAAATTAAAAAAAATTAAACAAGAAGAGCAAGAAAAAAGACAAATAATTGTTTGCTTCACTTGTTTTTAGAATGGAAAAAGGAAGTGCTACTGTAATAAATCGAAGTTATAAAACATTAAATCAATTATTTAGTGAATTAGGGGGTTTTGCAAAAGCAATGATTTTTTTGGGCTATGTTTTATCTTATCCAGCTTAAATTTTATTATTTAAAATAAGCGTAGTGTAGAAAATTTTTAACTTTTAATAATTAGAAGAATAGAATAAAGAAGATAAAGAGTCTTATTAGGATATTCCTAAATAATAGCAAGTAGATAAAAGTGTTCATAAAGGTATTAATTAAAACTATGTTCATGAAGATATTAATTAAAACTGTGTTCATGAAGATAATAATTAAAACTGTGTTCATGAAGATATTAATTAAAACTATGTTGTCCATGAAGATAATTAAAACTGTGTTCATGAAGATAATTAAAACTGTGTTCATGAAGATAATAATTAAAACTGTGTTTAAGATTAGTAAATGAAATCTTAAAAAATTTTAAAAATAAAAGCGAAAAATCGAGTTTAAACATATTTTGGATTTAAATTTAATGACAAAAGAAATCCTTTAAAAAGTGCGACTACAATGGTAGTAGAAAATAATAAAATAGATAATTAAACGATTTATAGATAGTCAAATAATATAGTTTCTTTAAATAATTTTAATAATTAAAATTAAGAAAACTTTTACTTTGCTAAAAAAGATAAAAAGTTATTCAAATTAAATTGTTTAGATTTCCTAATGTATTACATATTCCCTTGTAATCGAAAAAAAAAATTTTAGATGATTAATTGTAAAAAATAGAAAACTATCTAGACACTATATAACTAATTTAAAAACTTTAAGAAATAGATAAGCTAAAGTATCTTCTATTAGATAAAAATTAGTTGAAATTATTTGAATATTTACCTAAATAAATTGTTTATATAGATAAAGATTTAAACTTAAAGAAAATGAGTTAACATTTAGATAATGAAAGTGTTATAGATTTCTTTCCAGATGAACAAAAAACAATTTTAGATAAAGCAAAAGATGCTATAGATGCATATTAAGATGTAATAAAGAAAGAAAATTTAAATTTTATTGATAAATAATTATTAAAATATATTGACTTTAAGTTTATTGAAGATAAATTTAAAGATTAAAAATTTAATTTTAGAAAATTTTTAGGAACACAAACTTAATTAGCATTAGGAACTGACAATCATTATATATAAAATGATATGATTTTTCATGGTAAAAGTAATAATTATAAATCTAGATAAGCTAATAATTGTAATTTAAAAGATTAAAAGTAAGAATTTGATTTTCAACTTGATTTTATTAATGAAGGGAATAAATAAATTAATTTACCTTATATTAATTTTAATATTAATAAAATATAAAAATAAATTATTTAAAATAAATTAGATTTATATCCTAATATTAACTAAACATATATTTCTAAAAATTATGATTTAAAAAATATTGGAATGCAAAAATTTTGAGTCTATTTATTATTCTACTTGTAGCTATAATTTCTTTTATCAATTTTTTTGTTTTATTCTGATTATTATTTAAAATATATTTGTATGTATTTTTTTTTTTTTTTAGTATAATAATTATTTATTTAATATATTAAAATAAATACTAATATTTTAATTTGATAAAATATTTATATAATAAAAAATTTATAACTTACAAAAATTAAAAAAAAATTATTTATATCGTCAATTTTATTAATAAAAAAATAAATTATTAATTTTAAAATGGATAATGATGCATTAAATATATATAATATAGATACAAGAATTTATTTATTTAAATTAAATAAAAAATCGAAAAATAGAAAAATATATTATTTATATAATCTAGATTTATTAATATTAATTATTTATCTCAATTTTTTTTCTGTCTCATAATCATTAAAATTAATTACATATATATATGGATTTATATTTTTAAAATAATAAATACTTAACGAAAATTAATAATATAAATTCTTAGACTATATAAAAAATGATAACTAATATAAGTATAATTATCTTTTTATCAAATATAATAATTTTATAAACATAAATATATTTAGAAATTTATATTTTTTATGAGAGAGATAATCTCAAAATGAATTATTTTTAAATAAAAAAATAATAATTTTATATCATATAATTATAGACTAAATATGGTATATATTAATTAAATTTTATTAATAAGTAATAATTTTATAATCATCATAAAATATATGCTATTATAAATATATTAATAAGAAATTTAAAAAAGTAATTAAATACAAGAAAAAAATAAAAAAAATACCTTATAATATATTTATTATTCAAAAAAAATAAAAAAAAATCACTAAAGATGTAAACCAATTAAAAAAAAACATAGTTTTTCAAATCCAAAAATCAAAAACACCTCATTAAAAAGTACGTTCATAATTTCGAATAAAGTCAAGTAATAAAAAAGCCTACATAACTCCATCATCTTTAACAAATATGAATATAAATATGTAATTAGACGATGATAATAACGAAACAATAAATTCTTAACTAGCCCGCCGAAATACATTTAATATAAAAGCAAAACTCCAAGAAGAAGTAAATGCAATGAACTCTTTTAAAAGTATAAATAGAAATTCTTAAAAAAATACTCATAGTAATAATAATCGTTCTCGTTCAATATTAAACCTAAATCCTGATTTAAAAGAAATAAAAAAATAAAAAGGCGAATAAGAAATATAAAAAATATCTTTTTTCGTACAAGATTATCACCAAAAAATAACCAAAGAAAAACAAGTATAAATTGTAAGATCTTAACCAACTTTCAAGGCAGCAGCAAATTCCCATAATCAACATGAAAAATAGAAAAAGGAAGTAAAATGTAAAAACGACATCCAAAGTTTAAATAACATAGAAGATTTTCTTTTGGAGACAATGAAGAAGAGAGAAGAGAATATACTTTTAAACAAAATAATAGAATAAGAAGAAAAAGCAGAATAAAAACCTACAAAAGAATTACCAGAAACTTAAAAAGATGTTTTAAATTTATTTTTTAATAAAAAAGAATCTAACTATCGAAAAATCCTTCGTGAACATTTCAAATAAAATAAGTATACGGATATTTATTTAACTTTTGAAAATGATGAAATTTAATTAAAAGATACTACTCTATTTGAATCACAAATTGAAACTTTGAGACATTTAACAATAGTTTTTGTGAATGGACATTATAGATTTGATGAAGAAACACTGGGATCTATTAAATATATTAAATTAATTAACTTAAAATCTTTAGTTATTAACTTTTCAAGAATCTAGAATAATAAAGTGGCTATTAATTATGAGCTTTTCTAACTTTCATATTGTCCTAAAGTGGAAATCTTATTCAATTAATCATCAAAACTTGTCTATAATTAGGACAATAAGTATGTTTTTATGGATTATTCTTCGTATGAGCATTTTAATTAGAAAGAACTTTAAAAATTGAACACTTATTTGTGCAATTATGCAATTACTTCATTTAAGATTTTGCTTGAAAATAATACTTATTTATCATCTTTTGTTGATCCTTAAAATAAAAGTAGTTTCCAGGAAAAAATTCTTAAAGATTTGGGAATGATACTTTCACCTTTGGAAGAATTAAAAATTTCCTTTAAAAATTCGAAATTAGTTTTTGAAGATTTTCAAGCTTTTACTTAAGGAATTATTGGAAAAACAGGTAATTCGAGTTTAAAGAGCCTTGAAATAAATATAGAAGGAAATTTAAGCTTTGATAATTGCTAATTTTTTGCCATTTTTAGTTAAAAAAATTTTCCAGAGTTAGTAAATCTTCACTTAATATTAGACAAGAGTAACCATATAATTAAATAATAAGATTAAGATAATATTTGGAATTATTTAAGAACATTAAAAAACATAAATAATGTCAAAATAAGCACTAATTCATCTTTTTTGATATATGAACATAATTTTTTGTATTAAAAGGTCTATATTTCGATTTCTACTTGTGATATTTCTCCGTTTTAATTAATAGATATTTCCAGAACTTTAAAAATGTATGATTAAATAATAGATTTAACTTTAGATTTCTCGAATAATTATAAGTTAAATTATAAAAATATTTACTGTTTTTTAAGTGAATTGGAAATTTTGAAAAATGTCAAAAGACTCCTTTTAAACGTATAAAATATTAATATTTCTTATATTCAAATAATCAGTATATACTTATAAGTATACCATATATAAAACCTTAATTTAAAATATGAAGAATATATAGAAAACTTTTTTTAACTTGGAAATAATAATAAAAATTTATCTATCAAAATGATTAATGATAGTGTTTATTCGTCATAAGAAATAGCCTTTTATAGATATTAGTATTAGCTTTAGAATATATTTAATCCCTTATCTTATTCTTTAAATTATAATTTTGAAAACCTAAAATTATTCTTTTACTATAATTATAATTTAAGCACTTCTATATTCAAATAATGTATGTAATCTTTCTTATATTCTTAAGCTAGTTCATTAAGAAAAATAGAATTAGAATTTGATTATTCGTGCATTTCTTAAGAAGATGTATTGGGAATTACTTAATGTATATATACGTCTTGTAAAAAATTCTAGAATTTAAACGAATTAAAACTTTCGTATTTAAGCTGCTAATAAATTGAATTCGAAGAAGGAATTGGAATTGTGGCTTCGTTTTTTGATTTGTTTAAAAATACATTGAATTTGTTCGAAATTTAAACTGATAAGTTTTAATTATCATTTAATAATGGTTAGCCTAAATAAAACTACAAAAATTAAATTTTATTTTAGTTAGTGGATGTTGTTGAACATGTAATTAAGTAAGAAACGATTTATCCAAAAAGAATAAATGAAATGAAAGAGTATAATACTAAAAATGATTCAAATAAAAATAATAAGGTTAATAACCCTTTTGGAAGACCAGAAAGAATATAATAAGTACTAAAAAGTAAAAAATATTAAGGAGGACTAATATATTTCTTAAATTTGGAATTAGCATTAAATGATTATACTAAAATTCTTTAAGAATTCTATAATTCATAAGGATAATAAATGAATACTTAGTTTATGTGTGTGGCAAATAATGATTTCTAATTCAAAGATGATTTAGAAAAATATTGGGAAGATAAATTTGAATAGTGAAATTAATACATATTTTGATTTTCTCTTTACATTATATATATATATATATATATATATATATATATATGTATCCATATATTATTTAATAAAATATTAAATGTATTTTTAATGTTTTATTTATTTGATAATGTATTTTTATTAATGTTTATTGAAATCATAATTTATATATTATTATGTATTAATTTTATTATGAATTTAATTTTTATTTTTTTATAAAAACAACATTACATTTAATTTTATTATATTTAATTTTATTTTTTCTTATAAAAAAAAAATTAAAACAGAAAAATTGTTTAGTAACATAAAAAAATGTAAAAATTTATTTTTTATTTTAATAATAATTAATCATAAAGCTCTCTTTCCAATAGAGTATCTTTACAAAACATTAAATGATTATCTTCTTACATCATCAATAACTTTTTATTTATCATTAATAGTATTTCTAAGAGATTCTATTTCAATAAAAAGTAATAAACAAAG